GTTCCATCATATGTGTTCCAAATATGTTCCATATGTGTTCCATATATGTTCCTCCACAGTATCATCTCATTAGTCTCGTTATTGCCATTAGCAAACATTGTTATACAGAAGTGGGTAGTTGACCACTTCAGCAAAACTAATCTTTCAGTCACAAACAGTATTATTTCGCTACTCTGGTTCCACTGCTGATGTTTTAATAAATATCAGTGCATACTACCTAAATGCACCAGTAACTATGCGATAAGGATACCTATATCCACACATCTATCTATCTATCTATTTATCTATCTATCTATCTATCTATCTATCTCAGACATGGGAAAGGTGTTTCATCGCTCAGGTCTGCTCAAGTTGTCACATATCATCCGTGTTTTCAAATGCTTGTGAACGTTCATTCGCCATTGCAACGTCATCCACTCAAACTCCTTAGTGTCATGAAATTCGGTGAATCTATTTTCAGCAAGCAGTTAATACATCACTTTACCACATACACCCCCCCCAGGCGCCAAACAATATCGGTTTCTCTCCACTACGTCCATTGCTGATGTTTTAACTCTCATTAAGAACAGAATCAGTGAAACTCGATGGTAGCTTGGTTGCCAGTTCGATTATATTCGACATCGCAAAAAGTTTTAAATATTGTAGAATAGTGATTGCTACACACACTCACCGCTTAAGGTATCTTGACGCCATCAAAACTTCTCTCTCATATAGATTCATGAAAAATTTTGAGAATGGCCAGTCTTCCCAAGTTTGCGCGTCCTCTAAGGCTCTTCCTTTGGTCGTACACACTTTTTTCTTTTCTTTCTTTTACAAACCGTACCTAATGGGTGTATCCCAATCCTCTTAAATACGTTGGACACTATTGTAAGTCGGGGTAGTATGATGTCTAAGTAGTCCACCAATAGCAGTGGTTTACCTAATTCACGTTGCTGGCGAGTATCGTATGTTATTTCATTTCCAATCGCCGTTTTGGTTATTCCTCATTCAAAAACTCTTTCTAGGTTACAACACATTTATAAGCGATTTACCTGGGAACATTACACAAATCATTAATAAACGCTTATGATAGATGTCAACACTGATATGGACGCACTTCCTAATACCAAGATGCTCGGCGCTTGCCGCTGATCTCTCACCTAACCTACCTTTAACAGGGCAAGGAGTAAATAAGCGCCTTGAAATGTTCAGTACTTCAAAAGGTAAGTTAACTTGGCTAGCGATTTCTCCAGCCATCATTAATGGTTTCAACCTGACTGAGGATCTCTGCTATTTCTCTATTGATCAAGGAAGTATCTGATTCCTCCTGGAATGCTCTATCTTTACAGCTTAGATTAGACCAAAAATGGGGTGTTGTTACCATATCGTCTGCTTCACACACACCCCTCCAGTCTTCTGAACAGAAATAGAGGTTTATCTCTTCTTTTCTGTTCAGGATTCGGTTTTCCAGATCCGTTTAATGTCTTGTCACACTCTTTGACTTCCAGTAATTCTTTGCTGCTTAGTGGGATTTTTTTTAATAATATTTTTTTTAAATAAACTATATTAATTACATTTAGCTGTCGGAATGGTCAAGAAATTTCGTAGAAAGTATAGTCTTAATCGTATAGAAAACAGGTTTGGTTCCTGTCAGAAAAGGCATATTTTCTACGAAATTTCTCAAACATTCAGGCTTGTAAATAGGATTAATATTGTTTGTTTAAAAAACAGAACTTTTACTTAAATATACTATGTCTATAAATAAATAACGTATAAACAATATATATATATATATATATATATATATATATATATATATATATATATATATATATATATATATATATATAATTACTTTTTAAAATATATATCCATTCTCAACATCGATTGAAATGGAGCGAGTTTAAGTTTAATCTAAGATTTAAGTTTCGGTTTCGAAATATAATAATTTCTGTGTCGCAATGGATTTATGTTTTTTTAGTTTTTTTTTTTTAATTATACTATATATATATATATATATATATATATATATATATATATATATATATATCAAATATGTGGTGCAGTTCAATTTATATTACATGAATCATTCATGCAAAAAACAGATTACTGAAGATTCTCGCCATTTATATTATTAACTTCACTAATCTGTTTTTTTCTATAAATAATTCAAGTAATATATATATTATGATCCTTGTTTTAATATATATATATATATATATATATATAAATGATTCAATAATATATATATATATATATATATATATATATATATATATTATAATTATTTTTTTAAAATATATATCCATTCTCAACATCGTAAGTTTAAGATTTAAGTTTCGGTTTCGAAATATAATATAATATAGTTATATAATAACGATGGATACATATTTAAAAAAAAAATATTTATAATATTATGCATTACTGTGTGTTGAGCATTTAAAAAAAAACTAAATGCCATTGAACTCTGGATTATAAATCTGTCTGTTCTTTCTTATATATATATATATATATATATATATATATATATATACTCAAAGCTCTTCGCTAAAATGAATACGAGCACTCCGAATGACTGGCATCTGATTACATTCATTAAAACAATACGCTAGAATTTCTCTCTTCCGAGTGCTGAGTCCTTAGGAGTAGAAACTCCGACTGAAACGAAATCGGCCATGTGTCGATCCTGGCTTGAGGCTTTCGAAAGTCTATTCGCACTGAGCAGCTGTGATACAGCGAAACAGGACTGTCTGCGAATATCGTTCTTTCGTTCGTTCTTTCGGCATCCGTCCGTCTCGAGAGACGATAGAGTAGCGCTGTGGGCTACAAGCCTGGGCGGAATGTATGGAGAACTAGGGCTACCCGGACGTCTAGTTCCCCCTCTCGGCCTTGCTTGCAGAGTCCAAAGGAGAGGCTAAACCAATACAGTTTGGTACCAGCGCGGCTGCAGGAGTTGCCGGAAGGTAGCACAGAGTGCCGTCCATCGGCCTTAGAAGATCCACTCCGGATATGTGGAGGGTTTACTTCTTTAAGATTTCCACAAGGCAGTGGAGCTAATTAACCCATAGCTGGGGTTTGGTTCATGGACACCAAGGGCGTGTACACACACTGTTGGGCCTGCATGTCGCATGTTAAGAAGGCAATCTCCTCCCCCGTCCTCTGTAGTTTAGACCAAATCCGCAAGGTGATCGGTCAACATGTGTCGCCCCGAGGAGGCTCTACATAGGGCAGGGGTAGACTTACGCACTCGGCTCCCCTTTTGGCATTGCTGCTAGCCAGCGGCGGTAACTGAAAGCGAGAAGCGACAAGCACTACCACTACAGACTACTACACTAGACGCATCACAACAGCCGTTGAGACACATGCGAATATATATATATATATATATATATATATATATATATATATATATATATACAAACCAATCGGATAAAGTTACCGTTAGAAAAAAAAATAAAGTTAATCAACCCAAATAAACACAAATTGAAAACTGTTCCTGCCAAAATAATAGTTAGAATAAACTACAACAATCAGCCCCAAAACCGAACAAATAGCTTTAATTAAATTCTCAAACCAAAACAAAACTATTAAATAAGTGATAAAACAAACTTTTACTACGTTAATAAAAAGCACCGATTAAAAATAAATAAATAAAATAAGAAACAAAAAATAAAATTAAATAAAAACAAGCAAAATAATTTAACGCAAATAAATAAATAAACGACTTCCGGTAAAATAACCACCATAATAGACTACCCACAATGCACCACTGACCTGTATATTTATAAATAGCCGAGAAAAATAACAACACACGTGGCCTGACGATTGCTTATAGCATGAAACAGACTGTCGCCTCTAAGTGTTGACTTCTATGTTTACTTTTATATTTACATACGCTCTTTCTCTGATATTGAGAACTTTATCCCATAAATATAGCACACCTTAAGATTATTTCTTTATTCATATATATATATATATATATATATATATATATTGTTGTAAAGTAATTTTCACAGTGGAGGCTTATATTTTACTAAGTCGGTCGTAAATTAGGTTCGACGTACAAAACGTTAGGAAGTTGAAATAATAGTTAATGACGCAGCAATCTAGTTGTGGTGGTTGATACTTCAATGTCCGACATCGACTGACTCACACAACTCCACTGAGCCCAACTGGCGACCGCTACTACTACTACTACTTATTATGTGTGGGAGAGTCTATTACAATAGAATAGGTAATATTCTGGTATAACATATAGATGGTTTTGTTACTCGCTTCTCAGCCTTGGCATTTTTCACAATCTTCCACTCAGCAATGTTTTTTCCCTGAGATGCAACGTTGTGAACCTTTCATTGCAAATACGCCCCGTTCTTTTGATCCAGGCCACACCCTCGGTATCGACTCAACCATTATTTTTTTTTCGTGTTCCAAATATAAGAAGAAGAAGAAGAAATAATGAATTAGGATTTTGATTTGCACCAAAACTGTCACTTCGAGGAACAGACTCCCGTATAGCTCGTTGTCATGGAAGGAATTGTTAAAAGCAGCTGAGGATGATACTGATGACGGTGTCTACCACAAGGCTACAAATCGATTTTAGTATTTCACCCAGGTAAGTATCGATCTGGTTCCGCTCTCTTCCTGTTCTTCGCCCACACAAGATTTGGAATCTGAGTCCGACACACCTATTTGAACTTACAAAACAAAAAGCATTCAAACCTGAACAAACTCGAATTGATTTATTTTTTCTTTTTAATTTGGTTTCTGTATTATAAGCCGTTATGTAATATTTTTTCTCTGTTCTTAATATCAATGCATAAAAATAGTTTCAACCTAATGAATCCGTTACGTCTTGAAGAAGACAATCCTTCATCAGATCTTATAGATTGGCGCAACAGAATCGCTAAGAACTTTACCAAATGACAGAAACCACATTACCTAACAAGAGCAACAATAAATACAGGCAACACACGCATTTAGAGGAGGAAATATTGATAGAATCAAGATTTCCCTTAAACAAAATGTTCTATTCCCGTCTGTCTGTCTCTGTCTGTCTGTCTGTCTGTCTGTCTGTCTTTCTTTCTTTCTCCTATTCTCGTCTGTCTATCTATCTGATTGTCTGTCTTCCTTCCATTCTTTCTTTCTGTCTACCTTTTATTCCCGTCTTTCTTTCTTTCTTTCTTTCTTTCTTTCTTTCTTTCTTGTCTGTATTTATTTGTTTCATTCTTCCATTCTCTTCTTTCTTTCTTTCTTTCTTTCTTTCTTTCTTTCTTTTTTCTCTTCCAGTCTGTCTTTCCGTTTGTCTCTATGTCTTTTTCCGTTCTTTCTTTCTTTTTCCTTTTTCTTTCTTTCTTTCTTTCTTTCTTTCTTTCTTTCTTTCTTTCTTTCTTTCGTTTTTTTTTCTCCTATTCCAGTCTGTCTATCTATCTGATTGTCTGTCTCACTTCCATTCTTTCTTTCTGTCTACCTTTTATCCCCGTCTTTCTTTCTTTCTTTCTTTCTTTCTTTCTTTCTTTCTTTCTTCCTTGTCTGTATTTATTTGTTTCATTCTTCCATTCCCTTCGTTCTTTCTTTCTTTCTTTCTTTCTTTCTTTCTTAAGGAAAACCCCATCAATAATAGAAAAAGTCGTGAGAGTTAGGGGGCGAAAGTAGTCTAATTTGTGGAAAAAACAGTTTGAAGAAAAGGATTTCATAAATTTGAACAGCGGACACGCAAAAGTTCCAGTATGGATGCACGCTCCACGATCATCTCTCGCTTGGTTCATGACTGACTAGGGAGAAGATATTCCGCAGTCGGCTGCCGTTTTTTTTTTGCTTTTTTTTTTTCTGCGTTAGGCTAGTTGCGAACTATTGTTACGGCAAGAAGAGATGGATTCGTACCTCCACTAAAATTATTTGCGCGTAAGTGAATTTAACCATGACCATTCTCATTAATTTAGCTATATGCAAAATGGGACCCAGGCTATCAGATAATTCGCCGAAACCTCTCATATGATATGGCAATAAGGACATTCGAGCAATACGGTTTTTATTGAGTAAATATCACGTATATTTAACTGAGTATGACAATGGAACAAAGCTGTAGTGCGCATATCAACCAAAGACACTGCATTAATCCTGCTAATGAGTCATTTATATAAAATACTGTAAGAGTTAAATGTGTACTTTTTGCTGTTCTTTATTTTGATTGCTTCTTTAAATACTTCTGCTCAGTTTTCGAAGATGTCTTATTGTTGAGTGGTGGGATGGTGTTTTCTGGCTAATCGAATCACGCCAACTGCAATCACTTGGTTTATTTTCATTGCCTTATTTATTTATTTATTTTTCCTTACATCCCACGCAAGCGTGACGTGTGTGTTTTACAGAAATGACAATTTCCCAGGCGGTTAAGTGGGATTTTGTTCAAATAAGCCTGGGGTGAGTGGTAAAACAGCCCCCCGCACCCCCAGCAATTCTGATTCATTGTGCGTCTCCGAAATCCCATTGCTCTTTTGTATGTTTTATTTCATCATGTCTGCCAGCATGTTTGATTGTTTCTTTCTTTCTTTCTTTCTTTCTTTCTTTCTTTCTTTCTGTATTTCTTTCTTTCTTTTTGTTCTTTCTTCTTTTCTTTCTTTCTTTCATTCATTCTTTCTTTCTTTCTACATTCCATTCCTGTCTTTCTTTCTCCTTTCAGACTACCTTCCATTTGTCTCTTTCTTTCTTTCTTTCTTTCTTTCTTTCTTTCTTTCTTTCTTTCTTTCTTTCTTTTATTCCCGTCTGTCTGTTTGACTTTCTCTCTTTCTTTCTTTCATTCTTTCTTTCTTCTTTTTCTTTCTTTCTTTCTACATTCCATTCCTGTCTTTCTTTCTTCTTTCAGACTACCTTCAATTTCCATCTGTCTCTTTCTTTCTTTCTTTCTTTCTTTCTTTCTTTCTTTCTTTCTTTCTTTCTTTCTTCTATTACTGACTGTAGATTTGCTTGACTTTCTTTCTTTCTTTCTTTTCTTTCTTTCTTTCTTTCTTTCTTTCTTTCTTTCTTTCGTACCATGCCTGTCTTTCTTTCTTTCTTTCTTTCTTTCTTTCTTTCTTTCTTTCTTTCTTTCTTCTATTACTGACTGTCGATTTGCTTGACTTTCTTTCTTTCTTTCTTTCTCTCTTTCTTTCTTTCTTTCTTTCTTTCTTTCTTTCTTTCTAACTTCCGTTCTTGTCTGTTTTTCTTTCTTTTTATCTTCATCCTGTTCTTCTTCCTTTCATCACTATATCTTTATTTTTCCTCAATATATCATTCTTTCTTTATTTCTTTCTTCATCACATCTTCCTTTTTTCCATCATTCATTGTTCCTTTCTTTCTTTCTTTCTTTCTTTCTTTCTTTCTTCATCGCATCTCACTTTCTGTTTTCTTTCTTTCATTTATTTTTCTTTATCCCTTCTTTCTTTATTCCTTTCTTACTTTCTTGATCATATTCTTTCTTTTTTTCTTTCTTCACGTCAATTTTTCTTTCTTTACTCTCTGTTTCCTTCTTTCTTTCTTTATACCATCTTTTTATATTTTTCAGTCATTCTTTTTTTTTTTCAGCTCATCTTTTTTTCTCGTTATCTTTCTTTTATATGTCTTTCTCCATCCCATGGTACACTATTTCTTTCTTTCATCACGTCTTTCTTTCTTCCTTTTTTTTTCGTTCTTTCTTCATCTCAACTTTCTTTCATTCTTTATTTGTGTCTTTCTTTCTTTCTCATAACTTTCTTTTTCTTTCTTTCTTTTTTTCATTCATTCATTCTTTCTTTCTTCAACTCTCCATCATCTTTAATAATTTGAAATCATCATCATTTTCTTCAAATCTTCCCGTTCCATCAACGACCAACGGCAATCTCTGCTCTTCCACACGCCACTTATCCTTCATTCCCACCAACAATAGTTCTTTGGGAATCCATTGTAGTTAACTACCAACTAACACTGCTATCATTTCTGTCTACATCGGAATGTTACCAAAGTGATTCAATACAGTCTTTTCTTCTTATTTTTCTCAGCTTCAGTGATCATTATTCAAATTCACTTAATGTCAACTTCATCGTTTGCTTTATTTTATTTATTCTTTCTTTTGCCTTCTTCCATCTTTTATTTTTACTTCTTTCTTTTTTGTCTTAATTTCCATGTTGGAATGTTTTTCTGACTCTTTCATTTCCCGCCTTTTTATGTTCGGCCAAACTTGTTACTTTTTTTTTTCATCTTCTTTACGCTATTCTATCTATATTTTTCTTTCTTTCTGTCACGCTAAAGGTCTTTCTTTTTTCTGTTTTTTTTTTCTTCATTTTTATGCCTTATTTCCTTGTTTGCATCTTTCTTTCCCTCTTTTTCTGTCTTTCTTTTTCTCCTTTTTCTTTTTCATCTTTAATCTACTATACGTTTTATCACTTTGTCTTCCTCTTCCAGCTTCTTTTTCCCAGTCATAAGAATTTTCTCCCATTTTCCTTCTTTAAAGATAGCATTTGACTTTTAACGTTACTATCAATATGCACTTTTCAGCCATATTTGTTGTATAATCTTTCTTTCATTCTACTTGCTTTCTTCTGTTAATTTCTTCTGCTTGTCGACACTTTTTAGTCTTTCTCTCTCTCTCTCTCTCTCTCTCTCTGTGTCATTATCATAATCTTCACGATTATGTTCCTTTCTTCATTTCTTCCTTTCTTATACTTTATTTTCTCTCACTCTTGCAACCTTATCTTGCTGTGTATTTTTTTTATTTTTGTATTATTAATATTATTTTTAAGTCTGACCCAAGAGGTCATCACTTTATCAATTTCGCCAGCGTCGGCAATCAATTTCTGGTAAAAGAAGTTTTCAAAAGAACAATTTCAATTAAAAAAAAATGTGTAGACATAAAAAAAAATCATCATGACAACACATTCTCACGTGATATTATTTACTAATACATAAAAGAACGAAATTGCGAATTACCGGGAGAAGGAAAAATCTGTTTTGAAGAAAATTTTAATTTATCAGCGAACAAAGCACAAAAATCATCGGTTCTTGTTTTATTTACATTTTTTTTTTTGGGGGAACTTTCTCAACTCTCTCTCCCCCTCTCTCTCTCTCTCTCTCTCTCTCTCAAATTCTCTCCCTGTGAATATATACGTGCGTTTGTGCGGGTCTGCGCGTTTTTGTGTGCACGCGCGTGTGTACAAGACTTGAATCCCGTGTAGGATTTTAACTCACGTTCGACTGGCTGGTTGGCTAAAAACCACATCACGTGAAAATTTTCGACAACAGCAACAATTAAAAAAATACATGGGGGGGGGCACATATGTAACGAGGAAAGAAACATAAAACACTCTACGATGCTCAAAAAGTTTTGATGGAAACTACTGTCAATAATAGAAAGAGCGATAACAGCGGACATGAGGAAAAATTGTGCACCAAGAAAAAAGGTTTCTCTGGTCAGGAGCTATGTCAGGGGCGGAAATTCATCTCTACCACTGACGAGAAGATTAAGCAAGTTCGAGAAACGATAATGGCGAAACGACGTGGTATCATCGATAAGGTAGCTTATGTTCTCTGCAGATTCGTATCATTGCTGTTCGTTCCCCCTGGGTGCACACTGCTAGCATATCGGCCATGTTTGCACTGTAACAGCAGCTGGAAAGATTCGATCTTTAGAAACTCTGTAGAAACTCTGACTGGCATCAAATTGGTGGGGTTTCAATCCTAGCTTGAGGCATTCGTATGTCTAGTTGCACTGAAGATCTGTGATGCAGCGAAACAATACTGTCTGCGAATGACACACACACGCACACACACACACACACACACACATATATATATATATATATATATATATATATATATATATATATATATATATATATATATATAAATAAAAAGGTTAAACACTAATATTCCATGGTCATAATTTATTCCATTGGAATCGTAAATACGATCCAATTCTTCAGACCCACAAATTCAAAAAAAGAAAACAAAAAACAACTCCGGAAATAAAAACAGAATTTAGAGAGAGTGTAAGTATGAGGAGGAGGGAGATTAAATCTTAACAGAGAGAATTTTAGGAGAGGTGGGTGGAAGGGGCTTAAGTAAGAGAAAAATGAATGTTGTCGGATGTCTAATGCATAAAGATACATTTCGTGCTGACATACACACACCATAGACAATCTAATGTTAGAATAAGAGGGAGGGAAAGACGAGGTGGGGGAGAGAGATGTGGGTACACGCCTATGTGTATGTATATACGTGTATATGTTATTGTGTATGTGTGTATTCGCATGTGTTTTTGAACATAGAAATATAGGTCCTTGCTGGATTAGATAATCGTTATATTTATTTTTTATATGTTTATATTTGATTTGTAACCTGTAGTCGATATTAAATTTGTCAAATTTTCTCAATTACAAAGCGGCCCTTTAAGTAAACGCAATTTTACTTTCCTCCGCCCCATCTCTTTCCCCCACCTATATATATACCTTGTTCTTTTACAGGTATTTTTGTACTGCTATCCTGGCACAGGCAGCCTGCAGTTATTTTCCACCAGGTTAGAGCAGTGATCCGATTTCACTGATCGGAATGTGTGTCAGGTGATGCAATTCATCGAAGGCTTTTAACGCAAAACGGCGACCGAGCATTATCGCTTAGAAGTGTGTATGAGTGG